CCCCTGAGCACTACTGGGAGTAACAAGGAATAACGGCCATAAGTTGACTGAGAGTAGATTGAGGCTAGATATCAGGAGGCACTACTTCACAGTCAGGGTGACTAGGATCTGGAACCAACTTCCAAGGGAAGTGGTGCTCGCTCCTACCCTGGGGGTCTTTAAAAGGAGGCTAGATAATCACCTAGCCAGGGTCGTTTGACCCCAGCATCCTTTCCTGCCCATGGCAGGGGGTCGGACTTAATGATCTGCTCAGGTCCCTTCCGAGCCTACCAACTATAACTATGAAACTGTATAGAGACAGGCAGAACTGCATGTTTTGAATTAGGCTTACTTTCCCAATTGACTTTTTAAAAAGTCAATAGATATATATACCTAGATACAAGTTTCTTTTTATCTTAATACTAAAACTGTCTTGAGGCTTCTGCAATTATATCAAGTTATGTTCAAGTTTTTGGTTTCATATTTGGTATTATGTTTTGGCCCTAAAAACATATATTTCTCTCTGTGTGGCAGTCAGATGTGTTCTAGATTTTTTTGTTTTTGTCTTTTTTTATATACAGAAAAACTTCACTGGCCTAAACAAGAGCTCTCTAAAAAGACAGTCTTAAATCCAGAGGAACACAAGCTGGTCATTAAGAATGAAAACAGTCTTCAGCACCTGTCACCTGGAGTACTTAAGGACATTTTCACAACAGGAACAAGTAGCTACAATGTCCTTCTGCAGAGTAAAGAGGAGAAGAAACACCACTGCCAAAAGCAGTCATCTGCACATCATAAAAGACACAGAAAATCCACCAAGTTTTCCACCAGCTTGCGAAGCAGCGAGCACTGCAAGATCAAAGTACCGCTGCCTTTGCTGAGCAGCGGGTGGTACTGTACGAGCAGACAGCCCTCTGTCTTTATCACTAGCCCAATGTCTAGCAGTGTAAAGTTTACGAATGGTATTTCAGTCACAGGGAACAGCAAAGGACTGCCACCTCGAACCAAAAGCAAGGCTAAGAGGCATTATTTCTCTAATCTAGCAAAGCCAAAGCAGCCCCAGTTGTCAAAAAGCCATGGAAAAGAGGGAGAAGTTTCTGGCCGAAAACTCTGTATACTAACTGCCATCAAGCCTTCCAATGTAGAGAAAGAGAAGATGAAATTCTTCAAGTCAGATTTTACCTACAATCCCCAATTTGAATATGCAAATCCTGCATTGCCAAATGTATTAGCCAAGCACAGTCAAGCATCTGACAGATTTCTTAAGCAGGTACAGTTCTTTTTTTTCTCTTTTAAAAAGACAGCGTGGGCCTCTTCTTGCTGCAGGTTAGAGATTCTTCTTCATAACAGCTTATATTAGAACATGAGACTACATCAACTGCAAAATTAAATTAAAGGGACATTGATATTGAATGCACTCCCATATCACTGGGCACGTCTACATGAGATGTTACTGTGCAGTGGTTACTGCACATTTATTTTGTAGTTATACAAGCAAGTACTAAATAGATGTGCAGTAACTGGAGCTACTGCACAGTAGTGCCAGTGAATGTCTTTTTATTGATGCTACTGCACAGTAGCCTAATAATATTGCGCAGTAGCATCTTGGCACAGTTTTTGCTACGTGAAGCTACTGCGCAGTAGTATCAGGCTACTGTGCAGTCAGCATCTCATGTAGATGCGCCCACTGAAACCTTTTCAAGTTGAATGTGTTTTTAAAATCTTCTTTTTTTCACCAGAAAGAAAGAACCTAAAATTCACTGCCATAGTTGACAAGGACCTATCCATGTGGCATTAATTTCTAGCTGTCTTTCTGTGTTTCATGTTTTCTTTGACTAGCCTGCCTAATAGAACAAGATGTTTCTATAAGATGTTGTAGATCTGAACCTATTTAAAACATAAAAAAGACTGTACAGTATGCAGGTCAGTCATATGGGGTATCTCTGTGCAATGTCTAATGAAATGGCCTTTTTGTATACGTCTCAGTCTGGTGGGAGGAAAAGGAAACTTAGAGAACCTACCAGTCCTCTTGCTGACACAGTATGTAGGGGGCAATCATAAATTTGTTATGACTTGCCTTGAGGACATGGTTATTGGATAAGCATGTGTTGATTTCATTTGGTTTAATTAACTTTGGAAGGATATTCACATTTCATTAGGCTCAGTCAGGCGACAAATCTGCCTCTGCCCTTGACTGCGATTGAAATTCTGTTCCAGGGACAGGTAAAGCTGCATAAATCAATTTTCCTATGCTATGTGGTCTGCTTTCTGTGTAGGTTCATGGGTTGCTGTTGTCCATTTGATAGCTAAGATGCAGCCTTTTTAATTCATTTTATTAATGTGGCTTCCTATCTATTATCATGCTCAAAATGCTTTTATTTCAACTTTAACTGACATGAGATGCATTGAGTGTTTATCTCTGTCGCACCAAAAGCAACCCTACTCTCACTTGTGCTTTTCTGTAAGATTGTTTCTAGCTTAGGAAATGAAACAGCTTTAGAAAATGTATTTAACAGAGAATCCCATGTTGTGAATGGTGTAATTCTGTAGCAGGCTTCTTTTTTGGTTGCAATGCATACAAAAATTATTTCACTTCCACAAAGAATCTCAGTGCAGGAATTGAAAATAAAACACTTCAAATTCCAGACACCCAGGATTTTATCATCTGGTTTAGGAAGAATATGCTGTGCCATATTTTCAAAAGCATTGAAGGTTTAAGAGGATCTTCTTTTTATTCCTTTTGGTTATCCTATTATACATTTGATCTTAATTGTGAGTTTAATTGTTTCCCTGATGAAACAGAACTTATCTACTTTGTCCTAAAAAGCTCTGAAGAGGCCTTCTAAGTTATTACTTATTTGGTGAGTGCTTTCTTTTAAAACAAATGTCTGCTTGCTCTGTGAATAATTTTACGGACATTAAAAATAGCTGATTGCAAATAAATTAAATAGCTAAATTTGGAATATTGAATTTAATGTAAGCTAGCCCTTTTTGTATTTATGAAAAAGGAAACAATTCCGTTTTAAGCAAGACTTTAAAAGAATGTTTTAATATGAAACTCTCATATAGAGAAAACAGCGAAGTATCTGTTCAAAGGTATGATTTCTTTCAACAAATTACTGTAAAATATAATCAAAATAATGACTGACTGACTGACTTGTTAATAGCAACTGGGCTCTCAACGATATTTGTTGGTTATTTTAGGGACTGATGCTTCATTGCAAGTTTTTTAATAATTAAGCATGGCAAAATACACATTTAATATCATAACAAATAATGAAGATAAGCTTATTTTATATCCAGTGAAGCATGACAAATTTTCTTCAGTTGGACATAGAAAGTAAAAAGTGCTTTTCTCAGACAGAGCTGTGAATTGCTTTACAATATAAGTTAGTGTATTTGACTGGAATGGAAAGGAAAAACAGTATTTCCTCAAACTTCAGATTATTAAACTAATGAATAAATGCATTCTGGACTTCTTAATAGATGAAAAATAGCAGCAATCTTGTCTCAAATAACGCCAATCCCAGTAGATGGCACTATTTCTTTTCCTCTGTAGTTAAATGGAAAATCTCATTTTCATGGAGATTTGAATTTGATTTCTTCTAGCTACTATTTATATGAACCAATATATTTCCCAGAATGATAATCAGTAACTTATATATGCATTCCTACAATATGGGTCATAAAAGTTGCTGCCTTCCTTCAATTTTCACTGAAAGTTTAAACTAAAACATACTTTCATTAGGAGGAGGATAAACACTATAGTGCCTTTTGCTATGTATACAAATGAATTCTGCTCTTGTAACCATTTAAAACCAATCAACTTTTTAATGGTTTGAATTCAGACATTACTATATACATTGAAGTATTTTTCTTATAGCAAGACAGTGGACTCACTTGTGTTTTTGCAACATTTTCAGGCTTCGATTGGTTACCATCATTATTCTAGAAGCATTATCTGTTAAATTAATTCTGACAGATTTGCAGGAGATGCTTATAGCAATAGACATGCACACACATGCACACGTGCATACATACACATAGAGCAGACCTAACGCTGCTCTCAGGCTAGTTTTACAGTAATGGAATTCCCTTGACTTTTTACATCAACACTGTAAGTTAAGCACTAATACATTAATTCTTCAGAAGACACTAGTGAGGAATTTTTAATCATCTGAAAATTTGGATTCATAGATACTTTGGAAGCTCAACAGAGAGTATGTTCTTTTTACATATGTGTTTTCCTCCATTGTATGTGGCTGTTTAGAGTCTTAATGCTGTATTGCTGGCAATGTTTTCTGAAGATATGATGGGGATTTAACCACAGAAGTACTTAATCTTTTTAAAGAAAAGAAATAGAGGGGAAATGAGCTGGGTTTTGCCAGCACTGTAAAAAAGAAATGCTTGACTTGGAAATATTAGAGTTCTTCTAAGCTCTCTCTTCTCCAGGCCTCTGATCTCAACAGAGAAGATTCTCCAACTTGGTAACACAGTCTGCTCCCTTTTAAGTTCCCCTCCTTTGCATAGATATATAGCAACATGTAGGATTATTAATGTCATACAATAAACTATGGCTAACTTCATAGCTTCTTTTTTTAGGAATTTCTCTGTTTTACCACTTTCTTTATTCTCACCTTTCTGTTCTCCCCTCTTCAATTTTTCCGTATCCTCTTATCTTTATAGTATGTTTCATTCATAAGCTAAGAAATATGTAGTAGAGGAAAATACATACAGAATCACAAGTATTTCATGAACATAAAAAATAGCGTAGCAAACAGGCCTTTCATAATGGTCACTATCTGTATCTTCTGAAGCCACAGATGTAGTTCTCTTCACATTATGTATATTGTAACTGTAATAATGGGGATAGTTCATAATCAGGATTGCGGTACAGCGTCCAAACTCTCAGAGGTCGTTTTCACAACTAGAAACATTATTCCTGGCTCAGACCAAATACTCTTAAGTCTTTATCTTCATTAGTAGTAAGTTCACTATAATCTTAAATTGATACAATTCATCTATATACACAAAGTAATATTTGGGTTGATGCAATTATTATGACCTCTTTCTAGTAGAGCACTTATTCATCAATTTCCTTGATTAAAATCCAAGACATGAAACTGTGGTTTTAAGTGATTTTGTTCTAAATTAGAAGCCTCATACCCTATAGATATCATGTAAGGACAACTATTTAGTTGAAATCTGATAAAATATTACTAGGTGAGCGGGGTGCTGTTGGGGAAGTCATAATTCTAGTTCCATACAAAGTTGGAAATTAATTGTCAAGAATCTGTTACAAGTGTTTGTGTTAAGTACCCATAGTAAGTTTTAAGTACCCATAGTAAGTTTTGACGAATAGTACATTAGTGACCATCTGAGGGGTTGGTGCTGTGATTGGATGATACTGAAGCTCTGAGTGACAAATAATTTAATAGAGAGAATACCAACCTAGAAATGTGTTGTTATTTTTATTAAGTGTACTTCCGAGTCTCTGAGACACTTAATTACGCAACCAGTATCAGGAGGTAGGAAACAAGACAAATATCAGTTCTTTAAATGAACACTAAGTTCCTCTCTCCTCAGCAGCTGTCTTTTATGCAGATTTTGCTTTTATTCTCTTTTCTATCCCTAGACAAAAAGAGACCAACATTTTATGACCCTTGGTCAGGCTAATACATTCCATCTGCTGCAGCCTGACATACTTAGGAAGAAGCAGCTGTGCTTTGAAGTCCAACAAGCTCAGGAAGAAAGAAGCAGCTGGGTCTCCAAAGCTTTGTCTTCCCAAAAAATTCTAATTGAGTTTGTAACCACTTAGTAGCATGGTTGAGTCTTGAAACTAAGAACAAAGAACTGGAAAGGTCCTTCTGAGTAACAGAGTTGAGTCTCCTGCTATCACAGGAGCCACATTATTAGAATCTGGTACATATATTTATAACTTCACTCAAATAACTGAGTTGTATGGTTTCACACAACACCTGGAATACAAGGAACCATCCTGTTTTGTCTATAAGGAAACTTATCATTGTTTGTTAATTTACCAAAAGCTTTCACAGGTTTACAATACCCAAGGAGGTCATGTATTCTCACTCCTGCCCAAAGCAGGATCATTCGTGCCTAAGACATCCCAGCCAAATGTTTGTATTACCTGCACTTAAAACTTCCTCTTCTTGGTGTGTTTCAAAAAGAAAGTGGCCATAACTGCATGCAGTGAGGACCCCATACTGTAAGTCTGTGTTAAGCCTGGTTTTAGCAAATCTACAGCTTAGG